TTGATCCAAGTGCATCCAACAGTTCTTTACAACTGTTTGCAGTGCACTGCACTTAGAAGGGACTCCCACGTCTTTCTTCTCAAGTCTCTTGTTACAATGCAGTCAACAGTTTTGAGATCTTTTTGCTGGTTTTGGAAGAACACTTTTCACCTGTGTCTAGATATCAGACAAAACAGAAGACAAAATTCCACAATACCAAAACATTTTATCTTCACAGGATTTTCTGTGAATGTTTCAGAAACATTGCCAAAATTCCCAAGTACATTACTTTCTCCACCACTGGGGCCTGACCGTTCCACGATAAAAATGGTGAAATCTGTCTGTGGAAGCATGAAAGATGACCATCAGTATGCTGTTTTACTACATATGTGGGGTGGGGCTATGACATCGCTGTTTGAATAGTTAATGATACAGAAGTGACGCAAGGGATGGGGCATTAAAATATTACCCAGAGTGAAGGATGATGCCAGTGGACATGGGTAGAGGATGTTGTTGGCCCTTCAGTGCTGCCCTCTGCACTGCCACCTGAGGAATGTTGTGCTTGCCGGTGTTACTTGCAGTGCATTTGATATAGATCTACAGCCTTGAAGCACAAGTAAACAATTGTTCTCGGTCTGTGTTTCAGGCCACATAGGCTGATAAATTATGGTAGACTCAAATGCAGGAGTCAAGTGGATTCATTTATAATTTTTAATAGTCTTTATTTTGCACAAGCAAGAAAAGTAGCAGTTAAAGAGGATTGTAAGGAGATCTGGGTTACTCTAACTAAACTAACTAGCTAGAGTATAGTTAGTTAGTCCAAACAGAAAGATAACGCATGGAAAGTCCCGTTGGTGAGTGGTGATGCGATTACTTACTTAGGGGCACTAAGAGTACTTTCTGAGGGAGAAGCCACTGGTTTGCGTTTTCACAGGAGAAAAGGAAGGTGAGCAGGCAGGTGGGTAAATGAATTGAGTGCTCCAGAGAGGACTTACAGGCAAGGTGGACCATCTTAAGTGAGACAGGTAGGTATTTCGTACTTCAACTCCAAAGGTTGTGTAGCCAACTGAAATGAGTTTGACATATTCATATACACATAAATTAAACAAAAGCACTCATAGTTAAAGGATAACTTATATAATGGTCATAACTCAAAATAATTTGGCACTGTTGTTAACACATAAGAAAAAACAAAACAACGTCTCAAAGTCATCACAAAAATGACAGAACAGTTGTTATCTAACTTACATTACTTTAGTGATATAAATGTAAGTTTTTCAGTACCTGTAGATAAATAGAGAGGACACCAAAGTTAGCATCTTTCCCAGGTCAGAGCTCATGTATTTCTGAGCTGTGCATGTCTCTAGTGGTTCCCCAGTAGTACAACACCACCATCCACTGACAAAATGGGTTACAACCTCAGTACATAAACATATAACTGTGTTAGTGTTCACCTCCTTGACATCTGGAGATGTTAATCTATCTCTGCTGCTCTCTCACCGCACCTGTGAGCAATCAGCTTTTCTGGCTCATTGGCTCCTGCCATTCATTTGTGATCAAACTGACTTTTTAATATTGGGACAAACATTCAGTCACTCCCCTCTATGACAGAGACACAGGAGTTGGTGCGTGGATGTTCACTGGTGGTTCACCAGCACTGATCTGGAGGCAGTTTCACTCCAGTCCAAACTCCTGGACCAACCCTCTGTACTGTGTCCAGATGCTGAAGAAAAGGGGAGCTAGAGTAGTTCTGTCAGATGCACAGCACTGAATTCTCACATAGATTGTACTGTTACATGACATAGAAAAATTCTGTCTCTGGAATGCAGTGAAATGACAATTTTTCTTAATTTTGTAGAAAAACAAAACACTGATATATAAGAATTTTTTTTCTGTCCAAAAAATCTTATCTTGTGAAACTGAAGAGTTGCTCCCATCAGTTCTTTGAAGGAGTTTTGGTTCACATTCTCTTTCATCACTTTGTCTTTATCACACATCAGTCTAGTGTAGCAGTCGGACTGTTTTCAGAGACAATGGCGTCTATCTTTTCTAACAAAGCTATTGTCTCTCTTCATACATCATATAATTGTTTACGTGTGTTGTTGTTTTCAGCAAAACATTTCTTAACTTTCAAATCTGTCATTGCCCTTTTACATTTTCACCTGGCTCATGAGTCACAACTGTCATTAAATAAAGAAAAGATCCTTTCCCAAAAGTTTTATTTTACAGAGATTTATTTTTTATTTGTCCGTGGCATGAATCGTGAAACTCCAAGTCTCAAACTGTACAATGGCTCCATTCCCATGGATCACTCCATTCCCAAATCCTGGCAGGACAAGATGCATAGATTAGTCTGGCAAGCAACACACACACAAAGTCTAAACTCAACGATCCAGCGTTGACGGAAACTCAGAACAGCAGCAAACTGCCCGTGATGATGATCAGCTGCAGCTGGTGATGGTTGAAGAGCAGCAGGTGTGGCTGACTTCAGCGCGGGAACTCTTCCCAGCCTGATGGCACTTGGAAACCAGCCTTCTGGATACACACACATCCAAACACATAGACGAAACAGGCAAGCTGACCAGCGAGGGCTGTCAGACCATGACAGTCATTGACAGACAGATAGAAACACACTGTAAAGCTGAAAAAGTTTAAAAGCTTAATTTATATTATTAATTTATGCTATTATTATACTATTTATAATAAATAGATTTCTTGTAGCAGGCTCTGAATTGCTAAATTCTAAGTTTTATCTCACACATGTGAGAAGGTGTGCCATTAAATAAATGCAGCTTAACAATAATAACTTGGTGAAAATACTCATTTAAAACTGGAAGCCCTGTAACATGAACTCACTTTTTGTTGTTTTTTTTCATCTGTCTAACCCAAGAGCCGACGTCCTGGTCAACTCTCAGCACCAACAAATTCCTCCCATGTCTTTAATAGATCTGATGGGATGTGAAGAGTCCAATATGTGAAACTCTGCATGCATATTACATATTGCTACTTAATAAAATTCATTGTACTCAAAATGTTTATATTAATTGTAGTTTGGGAATGTGATCTGTAGCACTCATCAAACTTCATGATTTTGTTCCCGACCATCATACAGTGTGAATAAACAGGCCGAGGACTGCCAGCAACAGGATGACATGAAAATAAGAGCGTCTCTCTCACAAGAAATCATCTGCTAAGGTTTATAGGAGATAATTTAATAAAATTTAAAGTTTCATGTTCTGATTGCCTTGGGGTAGATTTAGGGTTGGGCACCCTGGGACAATTACCAGATTTCAAGTGTTAGCCATAATTTTTCAGCAACTGAGTGATGCTCTCAGTATGTACCCAAACTGGAAAAGCTATTTGCTGAATCCCTGCTATACATAACTAAGGCAGTTATGAAGGCTAAAAGTGGGTAGCTGTGAGGTAGCATAACATAAGCACCAAGGAAGGTTATAAGTAAACAGCACCAGCAGACTATTTAAGTTTCTTTTAAGTATACTTTATTTTTGGCATCGCCATTCTACCATAAAACAATCAACCTGGTAGCCAAAAATCCCACTTGCTTTATACAGGACTTTACCCACACCTGAACCTCGTTAGTCGCTACCATTGAAACAAATAGGTCAGACCAAACAATACAATTCTAAACAAAGCTAAATGGTTTGAAAAGTAAAACATTGCATACAATATAACTAAAAAGGCAACTTTAAAGAAAATAAACAATACTATACAAAATGAAAACCCTTCATTTGGTTACACCCAGTGATGCAATCAATGACCTCATGACTCTATATAAACAGGAAGTACTGGGGCGGCCCTTCCCATATACCTGTCTTAAATATAGGACCTGAATAAATGGACAAACATGGTAAGTATAACCAAAGTAACATAAAGAAACATAATTTACCAGACATTTGCCTGTGAACAGGAGAAAATTCAAATGACAGTTACACCAGCAATGTCTAAATTAAAGCATTATGGCTGAAGGTAAAATAACAAGGAAATAAATTATCAATATGGTTAAGGGACAAGTAGTAAATGAGTTCATGCCTAACCACTTTGTCACATTAGCTTACACCATCAGGTTAAAACGAATAAAGAAGTCACTGTTTCCTGTTGGCTCTCTGCCAAAACTCATGGAGGCTTAAAGCCACTCCTCTATAAGAGGAAATACGTGTCAAGACACCATTTACCATTTGTTCACTTTCAATACAATTTCACACCCATTACAAAGTCATATGCTTATTTATAAAATAAAGGACTGCAATGTTATGATGTAGTTTTTGCAGTTACTGTGGTTTTGGCAACTTGAAGTTAGTCTTTAATTTAGTTAGTTGCACTGGAGGAATACTCTAAAATAATGGAAATTTACTTTTTCCTTAATTCAAAAAATTCTGTTGGACAGTAAATTAAAATACAGTTATTGTAGCTTTAAATTTACATGAAGTCTTATTTTTGAAGATATTTATGTTAAAAAAAAAAGTATTTACATGTGTAAAACCAACAACAAACAGGGTGATTGCTGCATATTTGAGGTCTGAAAACTTTCAACTGGTGACATTTAAACATTAAATCTTAGTGTTGAACAGCCAAATAAATTAGATGTGGAAGTCTCTTTCATTTGCTGGCAGTTCAATGTCAAATTAATTTGAATGATTAAACATTCTTGGTGTGTGTTTGGTGTTCTAATAGCTGCAGTTCCAGCAGAATAAAAGAGATTTGGCAGCAGATTAGACTCAAGTATAGAACGTGTAGTCTAAGGAGCTCGGAAAGAAAAGCATCTAGACTTCTTTTAGGTCCAGACACTTTTCTTTCTGAACCTTCACAGACATATAGAAAGTGAACTTTTCTGCATGAACTTTGTGGCTTTTGAGTTTAGTTGCATTACACTTGAACTGCTGCCTACTGCCTAACAAAAATATTTTCTTTTTTCTTTATCTCATCTGCCTTTGCGTTTTGCATTTGGGCCATGTTTCTTGCTGCAAACTATGACAGAACCTTTGTACTTGCCCTGCCCCCAGAGATAACTGGGTAACAGTTGAGATTCTTCTTGTGCAACAGATCCAGACTTGCTTGTTTTCTGCAGAGTCACCGCGCAAAGTAAGTAAACCTGATAAACTACCTAAAACTCCAAAGTAAACTGTATAAAAATTATTTTGTCATTGTCAAATAGTTCATTATTTGACAATGACAAATTTCTATGAGTGCTGTGTTAACATGTGTGCTTTGAATCAACAAACAGTGTCAAGCTGAAACTGGTTTTGGTGCGTTTGCTCTGCTGCTGTGCTACTGCTCGTCCTTTCATATTTGCCACTTCAGTTGGTCCTTGTGCATTTTAGTAAGTTTGTAGTCTTACTGATAGCACTGTCTTATATGCTTTATATTATGGTTATGAGTGCAGTCGGTCCTATTTGATGCTTAAATGGTGTATGAATAGTTTAGCATTAAATATTTTACTATTTTGGATTGAGTTATTTTCACAGTGGTACTTTGTGTTGGGTATACACCCTCTAAAAAACACAGAAACTACAAATATATTTAAATTTGAAGTAAACTTGCTTTAATAGGAAGGTAAACAAACTTCCTTCTTTTCTTCATTCTTCAGCTGTAAATAAGCAGAGATGGCAGAGCTGATGGAAAATGAGGTAGTGAGGGCTTTCAGTACATATGCAGTTATTGTTGTTGTGAAGATGCTACTGATGGGGCCAATGACTGGATACTACCGCTTCACCAGAGGGGTGAGTTCAAATGCCAGCATGTTCTACATTTTGGGTATTTCTCTGTAAGATTAGCTTAGTTGCTTTTTTGTCCTGGTTTTATAAAACTGCAAGTTCAAAATTTACAAGACTCATGTTGGTTTAAGAAAAATAAAGAATTACATAACTAAAGAATAAAGAAATGCATAACTGCTCCCGAACCATCCTCACTTCTCAGTGTTGATCCTTTCAACCTGATATATTATTGTGATAAGTCCTGGTAGAAACAAACACTTGTATTCTCTATTTTTTAAAGTCTTTCTCTAATGAAGAGGATGTAGCCAGAAAGTCTGCAGAGGAAAAGAAGAAGCTGCTGAAAACTCACCCAGATGTAGAACGAGTTCGAAGGTGAGATAATCTGGCCCTAAAATTCAGATACTACAGAATCCTGATGTGTCTTTAGAACACAGTTGTCGAACTCCAGGACTCGAGGGCCAGTATCCTGCAGGTTTTAGATGTGTCCTTGATCCATCACAGCTGATTTACATGGCTAAATTACCTCCTCAACATGTCTTGAAGTTTTCCAGAGGTAATGAACTAATCAGGACACCAGCCCTCGAGGCCTGGAGTTCGACGCCCCTGCTTTAGAACAACGGTTGATCTAAAGAAGTTAAGAAAATATCATGTTTGTTTGTTTGGGTTTTTTTTTTTTGGGGGGGGGGGGGTTGTTTTAGGGTTTTAGGGCGTGTTTGATATTCTTTGGACAGACACTACCAAAAAACATAAATGTGTATAATAAATTGTGTAAATTAGTCGTGCCTACTGTTACTAATAATGTGGCCATCGCAGTTTCTAAACCTCTGTTTGTTTTGTCCTCTAGGTGTCACCAGAATGACCTGGAGAACATTATTCCCTTCGTGATTGTCGGCCTCCTTTATGCTCTGACTGGACCCGAGCTTTCTGTCGCTCTTCTTCACTTTCGCATTTTCACTGGCGCTCGGATCTTCCACACCATTGCCTACATTGGGGCTCTGCCTCAGCCGAGCAGGGCTCTGTCCTGGGTCGTGGGCATGCTGGTCACCTTCTCAATGGCTTACAGAGTGCTCAACACAGTTCTTTTCCTGTAGAAAACATGCTTGCCCATAGAGCTGACTTTCTTAAAGACATATGCATGTGTTTACTTTTCTCTTGCTGCATCAATCTGTGAGCTTGACAAATAAACATTCTTTGCATAACCTTTTGTTTGTTGGAAATGAACAAAATGTGTGTGGGTTTTCTTAAGGTACTGAAGAATAGGGATGGGTATCATCACTGATTCCTATAACTGATTTACAAGGTCCCGATTTGATTCGATTTCTGATTCAATTTAATTCACTTTTGACTCAGTCAGAAATATTATAATTATGATCATTTATCTGCACATATCCATATTTTTATATCTATGTATAAAAACAAAGCTTGACTGCGTTCGAGCTGTCTTGTGGGGGGGTTACAGTACTTGTGTTTACATGTTTTTGTGGAATCTTTTTACATACTATCATTTACTGTTTTAGCTGTTTGGCGGTTGTTGATATAGTTTTGTGTGGCAGACATGTGGTCTCCGGCCTGCTGCAGAGGCGGGGTGAACAGGTGTGCCTGGCGAGGTGATTAACTTTTGCAGTGACATTCGACGAGGCAGTGGTGTGTGCGTGATGGCTGAACGGGAGTGTCTGTGTCCCATGCCAGTGTGCTGAAACAACAGTTGGATTACGGTAACAATAAAAGCGCTGTCACCACATGGACCGTGTTGTGCGTCCTTGGGAGGGTCCGAGATCACATTGGTTCCAAAATCCAACATTCCCGCCTCCCTCCATTGTGGATGTTGCTGCATTGCAACAGCGCTTTGCTGATGTGTTCTACCCCCTACCCGGCCGTACGTCTCTCATGGAGCACCATTTTGATATGCAGCCTGGTGTGATGGTGCATTCATGGCCCTACAGGCTGCCTGAACATAAAAGACAAGTAGTTCAGTGGGAATAGAGCGAAATGCTGAAGTTGTGAGTAATAGACGAGTTGCACAGTGCGTGGTGTAGGCCCATTGTTCTGGTCGTGAAGGAGGATGGTTCTATACTGTTCTGTGTCGATTATCACAAGGTGAACGAGGTGTCACGTTTTGATGCGTACCCAATGCCCAGGGTCGATGAGCCGCTGGACGAGTTGGGCACTGCTCGCTTTTTCACGACACTAGATTTGATCAGTGGCTACTGGCAGATTCCCTTGTCTGCAGTCCAAGGAAAAAACGGCCTTCTCCACTCTTTACAGTTTGTACCAATTCGTTACACTTTCGTTCGGCTTGTTCGGGGCCCCTGCCACCTTCTAGCGTTTCATGGACCGGGTGCTGCGGCCATATGCTGCCGCCTACCTAGATGATGTAATCATCTACAGTGACATGTGGGCGGAGCATGTGTGGTGGGTGGCTGCGATCCTGGAGTCTCTGAGGCAGGCAGGGCTCACGGCCAACCTCAAGAAGTGTGCAGTTGGACGTATAGTATTTGGGGTACCACTTGGGGTGCCCAAGCTGGCCGGCTACTGTTGCCGGTTTGTGTTGAGGACCTCACCAACCCCTTAACTGATTTCACCCGGAAAGGTGCCCCGGACCTGGTCCAGTGGACGAAGCAGTGCCAATGCGGCGTTTGTGCAGGTAAAATGGACTCTCTGTGGGGAGCCGCTGCTGTTCACGCCTAACTTCTCCCTTCCTTTTCTCCTGCAGACAGTTGCCTCGAACAGAGGACCGGGGGGCCGGCTGGGGGGGGCACAGTGAGCTCCCAGGGTGGCGTGGAGGCCGGGTGAACAGGTGTGCCTGGCGAGTGTTGTGCGTTCTTGGGAGGGGTCCGACGTCACATTTCGTGAGCTTTAACCTGAAATTTTGGCATTCCTGGCAATATACATTTATATTTTAAGAAACTGATTTGAATAGGGAAATCAATTTTTTAAACCCACCCCTACTGAAGAAGTGTTAAGACAGAAGTGCAACTTTTTAAGTGTGCCACACTGTCTTTGAATCATATCAAAGTGAATATGTTAAAAGTGTTGACAGGTAATTCATGTGTTTTAAAATAACACAGCTTTCTAATTCTCTGTGTGATGTATGAGCTGTACTGTGCTACAATAGCAGGGTGAAAGTAGATTACAAAACAATAGAATGCATTCCAAAGATTTGTATCAAATTGACCCTTGGACTGGCTTGTGCTGGTAAATTCAAAGAGAACTTGCTATTATGCTGCACTGAGCTATGAACTAAGTACTTTCTACTGTTTGTACTTTTAACTCTCAGTAAAGTAGAAGTAAATATACTGACCATGCTTTCGTTTTACTACAATTTTAATATAAAGAAAAATACTGTGGGAGTAAGTACAAATTACTAATGCTTCAGATACCTTTTGCATCATGAAAAACACAGAAACTAAACAAAATGACCTAGTAAGCGTCTAAAAGTTTCCTCCAGACTAAGTTGGTGGTGGTCTGAATTGATGGAGGTATCATGTGACGCAGAACGGGAATTTTTCCTTCTCCTGTCCTTAAGATGTGAGTACTCTCAGACTAAGTACTCTCTTCCTTTCAAAAAGAGTCAGTGCAAAGCTTACTATCCTCCTACTCCACTTTAGTGACTGTCAAGAGGCTGCCAGAGAACAGTGGTTAGAGTTAAACATGATGGATGAGTGGAAAGGACTGCTACACTGTCTGCTGTTCTGTGAGAAAATAGCTAAATTAAATTTAGATTAAATGAACATGTCATATGCTGGCCATGTGAAGCAGGCAAGAGAGGACCCAAACGCAGACTCAAGGAGGCAAAACATAAACTCAAAAGGTAGCTTTATTGCTGAACATCAGGAAATAGAAAACTAATTAAATTTGGAATGTACATGAAAAACAGGCAGGAAGGCAGAACACAGGGCCTGAGACATGAGCACCGAGAGGGGGAGACGCAGGATGAGAAATAGACAAACCAGCAATGAACAAGGAAGACGCAGGGCTTAAATACACAAGTAGAAAAAAAAGAGGATGGGGAACAGGTGAGAATACAGCCGGGACGAATCTGACATGACGAGACACGAGGACGCAAAACTCAATACACTGGCTGTCAAAGTAAAATAAAAAATGCGCGACAGAGACGCAGACTAAAAATAACATGGAACTGAGGAAAGGTACATTAACAATACATAAAGACTAGAAATCAGAAGGTGGTAAACAACGTAGGGAGCTGGAAATACAGACACCCCCCCCCAAACTGAACAAATAAATAAAATAAAAAAAATTCATGTATTAAGCAGTTAGATTATTAAACCTCTTTACTATCATTAATAACACAAGAATAAAATTTCGTGTTGTCACTGATTGACAATTCAATAAATGTGAATGTAAAGAAAAACAATGCAATCATTTGCAGAACTACTAAACTGACAAAATGTTGCATTTTAAGAAAACGATTGGCTTTTTTTACCTTTTATGGCAATAACATGTCTCACAAAATTTGGGAATGGGGCAACAAAGGGTTTAAAATTAATTGGTAGTCAAAATAAACATTTTGCAACGAATTAGGTTAACTGACAACAGGTCAGTAGCATGAATAAGACAAGATCATCTAAGAGAGATTCAGACTATAGGCAGACATTCACCAGTTCATCAAAATGTCAATTTTGACAAGATACATCACATAGCAGCTCTTTTCTATATTATCTATGCTTCATATCATAAAATATAAAATCATTCAAACACATAATTGTCACTTTTCTTTAAAAATAATAAATAAACTAAATTCTCCTTTATTAAAACTGTTTCCTCTTCCAGAAATCCTTTGGTAGTGATATCGTTTTAGTAACCTTGATATATTTACCTTTATTTCTCTTCTACTGTAAATTCTCAAAACGACCGTTTTGGTCTGTATAAGCATTCCTTTCAGTAAAGCAGGTTTCTGTGTATTGGTCTAATCACCTATTCACTGCCCACATTATAAATTTAAATCACTAAGATTATGTAACTGTCATTTTACACAGTTTAATTTGTAAAAATGCCGCATGAACATAGCTGCTGTGATTTTCAGCAGAGTTGGAACTGTGCTGATTTATTCATAGTGTGTACTGAACATTTCATCCAGACTTTGAATAGCATCTTCTTTAGTGTGTGTGTTCCACTCGCTGGGAATCTCACCATGTCCTGTAAATTTTAAAGCATAGTAGTCTTCAAGTTCCTCCTGAAATTGCCACACAAACCATTTCCAGTACTTCAGCTTAGACTCATCTGAGGTTATGCTCCAGTTTGCATATGGTGGTCCAGCACTCCGATACTGTTTAAAAGGAATTAGTTTTGTTGTATTTTTTCCAGCATAAAAATTTCCATCACTTGCAACCTTTGTCGTGCAGAACTCAATACACATTTCCTCACTGTTATGATACTGTGCGCCCTTAACTGCTAAAGATCGATGAAAGGGGACACTGTGGTCTTCAGGACTGTGATCTTTAACAGTGTTGGTACAAACAGCTGCACAGAACGGGCAGGTTTCCCAGCAGCAGTTACACAGCTGATCAATGAGGATTTCATCAGGTCTAAGTCTGAATTCCTTCATCTTATCCAAGGAAAGCTGATTCAGCTCCTCTTTGATGGATATAAGACCTTTCTCAATCTCTTCTTTAAGAAATTCGAAATTGTTTATGTCCATGAAGTTTTGACAAGAGATAGATTCAAGAGTCAGTTTATCTTTAAGGAAACTGGAAAATTCCTTTGCCCACATGTCGATGTCTCCTCTTTGTGTTTTGACGTTATTTGTTGCATCAAATAAAGCTTGATAGGCAAACTCATGCATGTTACCTGCATTTTTCCTGAGTATTTTGAGTGCTTTACTTTTGTGTTCTCCTGACATATGTTCATTTACTTTCTCTTCAATAAAAGCCTCGACTTGCTTCCTCGGATTTTGGATGTAGTTGATGAAAGCATCAAAGTCCTCGTTCTCTGCAAGTGACTTCAACAAATGTTTCTCTAAGTTCAGTCTGTTCCCATTGAATGCTGGGAAAGTGCACCTCATCTCTCCAGCGAGATCAATGGCAGTCTTGTTACAAACAGCCTCAACAATAGAAACCTTCAGTTTTTCACAGATCATTTCTCCAAACACAACAGCAGATGAGTTTCCTTTGCAGAAGCTGCTGAAAATGTTGTAGTATTGTGGTTTTTTACTCTCCAAGTAAGTGTGTGCATCATTGCTTG